AACTAAAATTGAATTGTGAATGAGTATTTACCTTCATGCTTTGGTCAAATTTACATAGTAAGTATGCTGGATAATTTTATGTCAACTTGACACAGGCTAGAGTCATGTGAAAGGAGGGAACAACAGTTGAGAAAATGCCTCCATAAGATCGGGCTGTACATCTTCAACAAATGGTGCTGGCATAACTGAATGTTTGAATGTAGAAGATTGCAAATAGATCCAAATCTCAAAACTCAAGTCAAAGTAGATCAAAGACCTCAACATAAATCCAGTTACACTGAACCTGATAGAAGAGAAAGTGGGAAGTAGCCCTGAACGAATTGGCACAGGAGACAAACTCCTGAACAAAACATTACTAGTAGCACAGATACTGAGATCTACAATTAATAAATAGGCCATCCTGAAACTGAAAAGTTTCTGTAAGGCAAAGGACACAGTCAATAAGACAAAACTGCAGCCTACAGAATGGGAAAAGATCCTCATCAACCCCACAGCTGACACAGGGCTGAGAAACACTTAAAGAATTGCTCAACATCCTTAGCCATCAGGGAAATGCAAATCAAAATCATTTTGAGATATCATCTTGCACCTGTCAGAAACATGATCATGGCTATGATCAAAAACACTGATGACAGCTTATGTTGGAGAGGATGTGTAATAAGGGAAACACTCCTCCACTGCTGGTGGGAGTGCAAACTTATACAGCCACTCTGGAAATCAGTATGGCAATTTCTCAGAAAATTGGGATTCAATCTACATCAAGACCAAGCTATACCAATCGTAGGCATATACCCAAAGGATGCTCAATAATACCACAAGGACACTAGCTCAGCTATGTTCATAGCAGCATTATTTGCAATAGCCATAACCTGGAAACAACCTAGATGCCCCTCAACAAAAGAATGAATAAAGAAAATGTGGTACATATACACAATGGAATACTACTCAGCTGTAAAAAAAAAAAAACAATGGCATCATGAAATTTGCAGGCAATTGGATGGAACTAGAAAAAAAAATCATCCTGAGTGAGGCAATCCAGACCCAGAAAGACAAACACAATATGTTCTCACTCATAAGTGGATACTAGATGTAAACAAAGGATAACCAGGATACAATCCACAGGCCCAAAGAAGCTAGGCAAAAAAGAGGGCCCTAGGAGGGACACATGGATTTCTTTGGCAATAGATGAGATCTCCTGGGTAAACTTGGGGCGGTGAGGTAAGTGGGAAGGGGGAGGATAGATGGGAACATGAGGGATCAGGTTGGTTAAGTGGGGGCTGGAGAGAGGGAGAGAGTAATAAAGGAGATACTTTGATAGAGAGGGCAATTTGGGGGTTAGGGAGAAACCTGGTGCCAGTGAAATTTCAAGGAATCCACAAAGATAATCCCAGCTAAGACTCCTAGCAATAGTGGAGAGGATGCCTGAACTGGCCTTCTCCTGTAATCAGATTGGTGACTACCATAATTGTCATCAGAGAGCCTGCATCCAGTAACTGATGGAAGCAGATGCAGAGATCAATCCAAGCTCTGGGCCAAACTCTGGGAGTACAGGTGAGGAAAGGGAGGAGGGACTGGACAAGAAAGTGGGGGCAAACTCATAACAGGGTGACCCACAGACAGCTGAACTGAGCTAGAGGGAGCTCACACACTCTGGACCAACAGCTAGGGAGCCTGCATGGGACTGACCTAGGCCCTCTGCATGTGGGTGACAGTTGTGTAGCTCTGTCTGTTTGTGGGGCCCCTAGCAGTGGGATCAGGTGTTCCTGGTGCTTCCGCTGGTCCTTTGGAACCTATTCCCCATGCTAGGATGCCTCACCCAGCCTTGATGCATGGGGAGGAACTAAGTCCTGCCTCAATTTGATATGCCATGCTTTGTTGACTCCCAGGGGAGACCTGCCCGTTTCTGAACACAGGAAGATGGGATGGGAGGGGGTAAAGGGACTGGGGGAGGGAAGAGGCAGAGAGGAGGGAAGGAAAACTGTGGTTTCTATGCAAAACAAATTTAAAATTTTAATAATAATAAAAATAAGGCTGTAGGCAAGCCTGAAGAATATTTTCTTAATTAGTGATTAATAGAGGACCCAGCCCATTGTGGGTAGGGCCATGCCTGGGCTAGTGGTCTTGGGTTCTAGAAGAAAGCAGGCAGAGCAAGCCATGAGAAGCAAGCCAGTAAACAACACTTCTCCAGGGCCTCTGCATCAGCTCCTGCCTCCAGGTTCCTGTCCTGCTTGAGTTCCTGTCCTGACTTCCTTCAATGATATACAGGGATATGGATGTGTAAGCTAAATAAACCCTTTCTCCCCACAAATTCATTTTGATCATGGTGTTTCATCATAGCAATAGTAACCCTAAGATAGTAAGTTTATGAATTAAAATGACAAACTGAAATGACAACCTACAGAACAGAAAATGTATTTGTAAGTCATATATATGATACAACTTTTGTGTTCAGAATAAATAACTGATACAACTCAGGAAAAAAGTGATCCCTAGTCATCAGGGAAATGCAAATTAAATCTACTGTGAGATACTAGCTCACCCCAGGTAGATTGGCTATAATCAAAACAACTGACAACAAATGTTGTAGAGGATGTGGAGAAAGAGAAACACGTATTCTCTGCTGGTGGGTGTGAAAATTAATACAGTCATTATATAGAGCTTGTGGAAGTTCCTCAAAACGTTAGAAATACCACAGGACTCAGCTGTTTCACTGGGAATATACCCAGAGATCCTTTACCCTACCATAGAGATATTGGCACACCATGATTACTGCTGGTCTATTCAATATAGCAAGGAGATGGAACCAATCTAGATGTCCATCAGCATATTAATGCATAATGCAAGTCTAGTGCATATACTAAATGAAATATTATTCATCTCTAGAGAAATATGAAATCACAAATTTTACAGGAAAGTAGATAGACTTAGAATGTATACTGTTAAATGAGATCACCCAATCTCAGGGGAAAAACCACATGTTCTTTCTTGTGTGTGGATCCTAGCCTATATAATGTATGCATGTACACATGTAATTAAATATGCAGAGGTATGGTACAATATACAGGAAGAGGAACATGAAAGGGTAATTTTAAAGAGACAAAATACTCCCTAATGAGTTCACGTACATGCTGTACTGTGTGTGGGTCCTCTGAATGTTCGCTCTCTCAACATGGAACACAGTTTTGATGTAAAGCAGGTCCTTAACAAGCAACATCCACATGTAACTCTGTGCTGCCACCTTACTGAGAGCCCAAATTTGAAGTTATGTTTTTCATCTTTTTTTTTTTTTTTTTTTTTTTTTTTTTTTGGTTTTTCGAGACAGGGTTTCTCTGTGTAGCTTTGCGCCTCTCCTGGAACTCACTTGGTAGCCCAGGCTGGCCTCGAACTCACAGAGATCCGCCTGGCTCTGCCTCCCGAGTGCTGGGATTAAAGGCGTGCGCCACCACCGCCCGGCATGTTTTTCATCTTTTAAATGTCCCTCTACAATGCAGTTCTTGTAAGTACTACCAATTTATGGTGCATTATTCTTTAAATAAGAATTGCAACTAACACACGAGTAATTACCAACACTTCGAAGCTTGCAGGGTTTGGTTTTGTTTTCATTTTATGTTATAAGACTAAAATGTGTTATTGTTAGTGAATGAATGTACTTTGCTTTAGAATTTAAAATCAGAATAAGCCGGGCGGTGGTGGCGCACGCCTTTAATCCCAGCACTCGGGAGGCAGAGCCAGGCGGATCTCTGTGAGTTCGAGGCCAGCCTGGACTACCAAGCGAGTTCCAGGAAAGGCGCAAAGCTACACAGAGAAACCCTGTCTCGAAAAAAAAAAAATCAGAATAAAACTATTTTAGAGTGAGCAAAGGACTTGGATATTCCTGCCCTGAACAAGATGTACAAAAAGCTAATAAACACATGGGGAAGGGAATCAACATCATCAGTCTTCATGGAACTGCAGATCAAAATGGCAGTGAGTCTCACCTCAGCTATTCTAGTCTGCAGTAAAAATCTACCCAGATCCTCAAAGGCAGCTGCTCACTGGGACCTTCCTGGGAAACTTGGTGCTCAGCTTCATTCCAGCATTTGAAGCTTGGCTACCATCCTTGTAGTAGCCCAAACATGAGCTGCAGGTCTCCTCGTGAACACCAGGGGGCGAAAATAAACCACATAATCAACAGGGGAAACTCCTTGAGACGTAAACCTATCTTGCAGCCTTGTTTCCACCCAGTTCCAACAGACCTGGAGCTCCCTCACATGATCATTTCCTTTGTCACTGAGACCCCCACTCTGCAAGGAGACCCTATGTAGTCCCCTCCCTCCTCTCATCATCCATGAAGAAAGACAGGGAGATCACAGGGCAATCACCAAGGAGAGCAAAGGCAACCCAGAAGATCAGGGAGGGCATGGGCAGACCTGAATCACATTCAGCCAGCGAAGGAAGCTGCGGGTGGAGGAGCCTCCCTGATGCCCTCCTTAAGAATCTGGAGCACAGGGTCCTCTTTCTAGGACACACAGGTCACCTCCTCCTGCGCACTAGGATATGAACCCCTGAGATAACTTGTATCCCTGGATCAGACACCTGACTGGTGACACTAGTGATGACAGGTCTGGGCCCTCCACAGGCATCACTCAGCTGGACCTTTTCCTGCCCCTAGAGCAGACTGCCAATCTCTGCTGGGAATAAACCCCACCTTCCCTGAGCATTGAGATCACAGGGCAGACTGGGCTCTGCTAGGTTTTGTGTCACAAGGAAATACACTCTCGACTATACCCTGGGGTGAGCTGCTGTTCTCTCGGGACACAGGACACTTCTCAGCCTTTTGGCTCAAAGTATGTTCTCGAACACTGAACAACATAGGAATAGAAGGATAGGAGGCAGCACTCACAGAAGAACAGAGCAATGCACACACAGAGACTCCACCCCCAGCCCATGTGACTCCAGGAAGTGCCCTCCTCTGGGAGGAGGCTGAGGTCTGGGAAGAAAAGCAGAGCAGACACCAGAGGAGTCCAGCTTGGCAGCAGCCTAAGAGACAAACCTCCTCTCCAGAGGAAGAGCCTAGCCTACAGTAGAGACTATGGAGCTCACCCCAGCCCCTCTGCACAAAGGACAGGTCTCCTGGAGGGGACTCCTGCTCACAGGTGAGGAGACATTCCTCGGGAGTAGAGAGTTGGGGAGTTCAGAGACTGGATGGGGTCTTCTGGGAGAAGGAAAGAGCCTGAGAAGGGACATCTGGCTTCTGCTTAAAGCCTGAGGCCATCAGGAAGCTCAGAGTGGATGGGAATTGGAAAGTGGGGAAGAAAAACTCAGTTGTTCTCCATTGTAGATTTATCAGCACTGGCCACTGGATTCTGAAGACTGACATTCACACCTCTGTCAGGGTAACTCTCCAAGTAAAACTCAAACTGGGGAGAGTAAACCACAGCCTCATTACATAGGACCCTGAGAAATCTGCAAATAAACCCCAGGCTCTGGGACACTGATTTACTCACAGGAATCTGAGCCTGTTTGAGGTAGAGAGGTTTAAACCAAAATCCAACTAGTCCTCCTCAGAAAGCCCTGCTACTACTGGGCAGGAAGATGAGCAGCAAGGACATCTAGAAGGTGGTCCAGGGGTTGACAAACACTTCAGAGGAAACAGAGCAGGGAAAGGTCAGAAAATGAAGGCACAGAGTCTTTAGAGGAGGAGGTCAGACAAGACATGCCTAAACTCACCAAAGATTCTGAGTATGAGTAGGGATCTGAGGGCAGTGAGGGGTGAGCTGTGTAGACACTATGAAGCCAGTTTCATACAGTGGAAAGATTCAGGGGTACTGATGAATGGGGGTGATGCTGCTGACTTCACCCAACAGGACACACACACCAAGGCTGAGAGTTAAACACTCACATTTCAAATTGCTACCAAATGCAAAGGTCCTAATAATGATAGTTTTTTTTTTTTTCTCTCTTCCCTCTTAGTCTCTCTTTTAACCTGCTGGAACTCTCCCACCACTGCCAAAGTCACTGTTGAAGCAGTTCCACCCCATGTTGCTGAAGGGCAGAATGTTCTTCTACTTGTCCACAATCTGCCAGCAGAAGTCCAAGCCTTCTACTGGTACAAAGGAGAAACTGTGGTTGATAGTAATGAAATTGCACGATTTCTAATATCCAGTAGTACAAATAAAACAGGGCCTGCATACAGTGGCAGAGAGATGATATACCCCAATGGATCCTTGCTCTTCTGGAATGTCACTCAGAATGACACAGGAGTCTACATGCTAAACATGATAATGGAAAACTTTGATTATGAGAGTGCATCTGTGCAGTTCTGTGTACACCGTAAGTAATTCACTGTAACTTCTGGGTCCTGGGTTGAGCTAATCCTACTTCACACATAGAGTTGTCAGTCCTAGATGACTCTATGTTACAGTCCCCACAATGTGGTTCAAGCATCCAGTAAAGGACACAGAGTGAAGAAAACAGCAATAAATCAGGATGCCTCACTTGAATCCACCCTCAGAGAAGAGGGGGTGAGGTAACTAAGCCCAGGCATGTCAGAATCTGTCCAGGGTCTTAGATGCTCATCATGAACATGGCCTTGAAAAAGACCCTCAGGCCGGTCATGGCTGAGGAAACCATGAGAGTCTCACAGAGAGATGAGCACCCAAAAAAGCCTTGCCCCAGACCTCATTTCCAGACTGGACCAGGAATCCTGGGAAGCTTGTAGACTGGGTTGGAATTTGATCTCATGTTGGAACTGACAAGGGACAATGATGAATTGTAGGCTGGGAGCCTGAAGACAGTCAGCCTCTGAGAGCCATGTCTGAGGTAGGTCACCTGGGCATCTCCTCCTGAGACTCAGTGTGCTCAGCATAGGTGGAGAGATATGAAAGACAATCAGTTCTTATGGTTCTGAGACTTTGCAGTAAGGTCAAGAGCCCTAAAGAGATAGAAAAAAAAAAGTGTACAAATGGCAGATCCTTGCCCTCAAGTGTTCCCACCCAGGGATTATTTCCTGCAGTCAAATAGTAATAGACACTGCTTGGTGGAAGGTCAGGTCATTGTTCACATGTCAGGTTAACTTGCCCTCATAGCAATGATCATTTACTATATGTCCTATTATAAGGAAACTGAGACAGGAAACACAGTCACTGAGACAGGGTCACACAGGCCATGGGTGGCACAAGCCATCTGTTCACAGCCACATCTCCAGCCTTCCCACCATGGAGACCATACTAGGTGACCTTCAGTCTTCTAGATCATTTTGTAGACTCAGATTCTTTGAGGGTTCCCTGATTCATGTCAATCAACATCAAACACCTGACAATAATGGTCCACCTGTGACCCAACCTGACCCGAATACCAACCTGATCCTGATCTGTGTGAGAATTCTGACAAGCTGTCAGGTTTCTCAGAAAAGCTCAATGGGAAGATTAATCATGACCCATCTGTGGGACAGCTCTGAACAGCAAAGGCTTGGAGGGAGCTGGTCTACACTCAGCATTGGAGGTCAGTGCAGCTGGAGGGACTCAAAACTTGTGTCTCAAGGCAGGCAATGGGTCCCTGAGGACCAGAAGATAAAATGAGGTCCAAGTCTTGAGTTTGATCATCACCAAACACTGCAGCTCAGTTCTCTCATGAGAAAGCTCTTGCTACTCCCATACACAGCACCGGAGGCCCCATTATCTCTGAGCACTCAGCCACTCCATCTGCCTGTAATTTGCTTCCATCTTGATTCTCTAAGGATCTGGGTTGTTGGGGAGTTAAGAGACTGTCTCTGGTTGAAAGAGGCCTTTGCAAGAATCAGAGATCCAATCTTCTCTCTGTTGTCCACACAGCACCGCTACCCAAGCCCAACATCACAACCAACAATTCCAATCCCATGGAGCATGAGGACTCAGTAGCATTAATGTGTGAGCCTGAGACTCAGAATACAACCTACCTGTGGAGGATAAATGATCAAAGCCTCTCAGAAGATGACAGGCTGAAGCTGTCTGAGGGCAACAGGACTCTCACTTTACTCAGTGTCCTGAGGACTGACACAGGACCCTATGTGTGTCAAACCCAGAACCAAGTGAGCACTTCTCAAAGTGACCCATTCACTCTAAACATTACCTGTGAGTATTTTCTGTTTCATCCTTACTCTAACTGCCTAAATAGAGAGGGCTAGTGCTAGGATAATCGGTCCCCATGGGGTCATGACTCAGAGCCACCACACAGATACCTAGGATTCAGGGCATCATGGCCCAGCCCAAGCACATGCACTCAGCTCAACATTGAGCTAAAATGGGCTGGAGGGATTTCCCCTGCCTAGAGAGGCTCAGGATGATGAAGACAGGAGACATGTCAGACTCAGGCTCAGTGCACACATGAGTGTGTAGTGGGGATGATTGTGTGTTGTACTCGAGATGGATCAGGGCTTGTGCATGCTATATGAGTACTCTCCTACTAACCTGCACCCCAGCTCTGAGTAGGACCTGCTCAACTAAGGTTAAAGCACAGCTCAAAGAGATACTATGGCCTTCTACAGACCAGGATTTCCCCTTCCTTCTGCTGACATCACATGTGACTTTATTCTTTTTGCTCCAGATGGTCCAGATGCCCCGATCATATCCCCCTCAAATATTTATTTCCATTCAAGGACAAACCTCAGCCTCTCCTGCCACACAGATGCTAACCCACCTCCACAGTACTCTTGGTTTGTCAATGGAGACCTCCAGTCATCCTCCCAAGAGTTCTTTATCCCCAACATTAATACTAATAATAGCGGATCCTATACCTGCCTCGTCTATAACTCTGTCACTGGCCTCAGTAAGAACACAGTCAAGAACATTACAGTCCTTGGTAAGTGAATCTCTGAAATATCAGCACCAGGTTTGGAATAGAGTCTTTTAGCTTCCTGGGAAGATGCAGAAGCATTTAATTTCCAGCCCATGTCTATGGGAACAAGCAAAACTCAATGCTCCCCCAAGCTTCCTGCTCCAACCCTATGTCTAATCATCTCCTGCTTCTCTGAGTTCTCCTGGCTGATAGAGATGGAGCTTGGAATGTGAGCAGGAGGTTCTCCCAGTCTTGGAAAGCCTTTGGTTGTGTGAGGGACTTCCCAGGGGTGGGAGAGCCTTAAGGTCAAGATTTCTTTTTGTGACTCACACAAGCCTTCTTGTCCCCTCCATTTTCTTTTTATGACCTCCATGACCTACAAGGAACACCCAGGGCTTCCAACTGTGCTCACATGTTTTTTCTCCAAATTGGGGGAGAGAATTCCCCACAGATGGGGACCAGCAGTCCAGAGCTCTGCTCCCAGCTTGCTCTGCTCCTGTCTCACAGGTGGCTGGCTCAGCTCTGACTCTGTAGGATGGGAAGAGTGGGTAGAGAAGGTGCCTGGGAGCTCTGTTCTGCATCAGGGTGAACCATGTCACTGACAGTTGATCATGTTCTTTTGCTTACTCTTCTCAAGGTCCAAAAAACAAATGTCAGCTGAGTGTGGTGGCACACACCTTTGATGCCAGCACTAAGGAGTGAGAGGCAGGTAGATAGTGTGAGTTTGAGGCCAGCCTGGTCTACATAGCAAGCTCCAGGTCAGCCAAAGCTGTAAATGAGACCCTTCCTCAAAAATAAAATAAAATGTCCCTGATGTACATCAGAGTCCTTGAGGTCAGGAATGGGAAAGTGCAAAGGTGAACTTCAGGTTAATTGACTCTCAACTGTGTCCTTGGTCTGAAGATCTACCTATATGAACTCTGGACACCAAAACATGAGGTGATCTCTGAGAACAGTGAAAGACACTGACTTGGAGACCAGGGACTCCTCTGTTGAGACTCCAGGTAGTAGAGTGGACAAGGAAAGTGCCAAGGGACATTTGTGGTAAGATCCAAAGGATGGTGGACCTCTAGTCCTAGCACTCAGCACTCAGGAGGCTGAGGCAGGTTGAGTTTAGGTAGAAAGCCTGGTCTGTATAGCAAGTTCCAAGCTACCCAGGACTGCAGAGTGAGACCCTGTCTCAAAAAAATATCAGTACTGAGGATTAGAGTGGCATACTGTGGTCAGCACTGTGATTATTCACTTCTCTGTGGTTTTTGATCCATATCCATGGGGCAGGAAATAAAATTTTTCTTCAAACAGAAATTCTTTAGTTTGGGATTTCTCCCAGTCCTGAGGTCTTAGGCTTTAACACTTTTAAGATTAGCTGGGCCATCTTAACCCTATGGCAAATTATTTAATGAAAAAGAAACAGAAGACATTTTGTAATGGGGGAAACAGACTGTTCACACTCACAGAAAATGAAAGCAAGAATTTGCATAAAAATCAATGGGAAATATATCCCCCCATCCCTTGAGATTTCTGGAAACTTGGGCTGAATGAAGAGGCTCCCAGTATGGTGCCTTCACAAATACCCTGAGTCAGGGGTCACTCTGGGTGATCTGGGTAGGAGGAAAATTCAGCTCTCTGCTTACAAACCATATCTTGAACCCAAACATGTGATCTTGCAGAGGATCACTTCATTCTCTGGGTCCTGGGAGCTGGCTGGGATTTCTGAGGGTGAAGGACTATCAGCTGGTCCCCTCTACTGTTGATCCACAGAGCCAGTGACTCTGCCCTTCATCCAAGTCATCAACACCACATTCAAAGAACTGGACTCTGTGTTCCTGACCTGCTACTCAAACGACACTGGAATCTCCATCAGTTGGCTCTTCAATGGCCAGAGTCTGAGGATCACAGACAGGATGAAGCTGTCCCAGAACAACAGCACCCTCACCATAGACCCTGTCAGAAGAGAGGATTCTGGGGACTATCAGTGTGAGGTCTCCAATCCAGTCAGTTCCAAGAAGAGTGATCCCATCCAGCTGAACATAATACGTGAGTGACCTCTCCTCCCTTGTTACTCAGTAGTTGTTGGGGTTGGGGGCAGTTTCTTTGTCAACAGTGTGCAGAATGGGTAAAAGTCACAAGGAGAAAAACATGGTTCAAGATACAAATACAGCCAGCTTGGTGATGGATGGATGTAAATCTCATGATAAAACAACAAGCAAGCTGAGCGAGGTGCTGCATGCCTTTAACCCCAGCACATCAGAGGCAGAGACAGTTGGATCTCTATGAGTTCCCAACCACCCTGGTCTTTGTAGCCAGTTCCAGGTTAGCCAGAGCTACATAGTGAGACCCTGTCTCAAAAGAGAGAGAGCACGAAGCAGGAGGAATAGGAGTACAGGGTCAGCACAGATTACATTGTGAGATCCTGTCAATAATAACAACAACAACAACAATAGATGTCAATATAGCAAATAGAAATGCAAAGAGTTTAGTGTCTGAGTCAGACACACAGTCAACCCTCAGAATCTAGTAAAATATTCATGTTGCTCTACATACCCTCCCACACATTCAAATCTTCTTTAGGTTACTTCCCATACCTAATATGAATACTGCATAGACACTAGTCTTATTGTTTTGAGTATGGAACAAGGATAGGAGGAAACAATACATATTTCACTGTAGACATATTTTTCCAAGTAGTTTGTTTCCAAGGTTTTGATCCATAAATATAAAATCCATAGATAGAAAGGACCTGTATTGAGTTTCTAACTACATTTGCATATCTATTCATTTTGTGTGCATGTCCCACACCAATGTGTGGAGTTTAGGGGACAGTTTGTAGGAGCCAGTTCTCCAGGGACAGGGGATTGAACTCAGGTGGGTGAGCAAGCCCGTTATCTGCTAAGCCATTTCACTGGCCCACATTGTTTGTGCATTTATTTCTGTGTGGCAGTTGGGGGTAGGTACTAGGAGGGAGTATGACAGGCACTCTTCCCAACTGAGCCATCTTGGTGGCCCATATACTGAGTTTCTTATTCTCATGCTGACATTTACAGCATGACCTCCTTGCACAAGACTCTTTTATCTGATAACTAGTTTTTTGTGGTATGCAGTAGTGTGTGTGTGTGTGTGTGTGTGTGTGTGTGTGTGTGTGTGTGTGTATGAATCAATAGTTAAGAGCCCTAGCTGCTCTTCCAAAGGACGGGGGTTCAATTCCCAGCACTCACCTGGCACCTTATTACTGTCAGTAACTTAAGTTCCAAAGAATTCAACATCCATTTCTGTCCAAATATGCATGTGGTGCAGAGACATATAAGCAACCAAAAGGCCCATATGATGCATCTGGCATCATAACAAAGACACCATGCGAAATCCAATTTCATGATTCTTTCATCTTGTCTCCTAATAGTCTGATGGCTTTAAGCTCTGATCCATTTTAGGTCTTTGATCCATTTAGAGTTGATTTGTATATGTTGGTAGGTGAAGGCTTAGCTTCATTCTTTTACCTGGATATCCCAGTTTCCTAACATCCCTTGTTTAACTGATTATTCCTCCATCCTTGAACAATCTTAGCAGCCTGATCAAAAGCTCATCTGGTCACAGAGGGTCAGATGGACCGTAAGAAGACCTTCCAAGTTCTGTAACTCAATAGGACAACTCTGTTTCACACCAAGTTATTCAAAAGAGCCAGCAGAGATGAATGTTTTCAACAAACATAAAAAGTGACAGATGAAATGGTGGATATGCCAAGTGCTCAGATCTGACACACATTATAATATATATGCAAAAAACTGTGCCCCATAAAAACACATATTTATTGTATGCACTAATCTTTAATCATAGCCAGGGTGCATGAGCAGTTCTGGGCTTTCTAATTCTATTTCACTGATCTGTATGTCTGCCTTTATGTCAGTGGTAGACTATTTTGATTGTTGCAGCTTTCTACTAAAATTATGAAATCATGTGGGATGTCCTGCAATTTTATTCTTGTTTTATTTTCAAGGTACTTTTAAGGCCAGGTATGGTGGTGCTTGCCTCTAACCCGGCTCTTGGGAGCAGAGACAGGTGGATCTCTGGGAGTTTGAGGCCAACCTGATCTATATAGTGAGGTCCAGGACAGCTAGAATGGACTTTTCTATTTCTGCCACTGGGATTTTGATGTGATGTGCATAGAACTGATAGACTACATTTAGTGACATTGTCATCTATTTAAAAAAAGGCTTCCAGGCAAGTTGACTGATGCCTGTAATTCCAGCCACTAAAGAAGCTGAGGCAGGAGTACCAAAGTTCGAAGAGTGCCTACCACAGTCAATTCAAGGCCAGGCTGATTGATTTAGTGACATCCTGTTCCTAAATAAAAATTAGAAGGCAGAGCTTAGAGTATAGTTCAATGGTAGAGCATTGCTTACCGTGCACAAAGCCCTGGGTTCAATCCCAGTACTGCAGAACAACAGTAATAATGAGATTAAGTCTTCCACCCCTTCAACCCCAATGGCTGTCATTTCTTGTCTTCTTTCACCATCTCTTATGTGGGAGTTTGCTGGGTGCAAGTCTCTTATCTCCTTGGTGGAGTTAATTCTAAGTATTTTATTCCTTTTGGTGCTCTCATAAATAAATACTTTCTTAATTTCCTTTCCAATTGTTCACTGTTAAGGCTGAGACTCAGGGGCTGAACCCTTACCTAGCATGCCTGAGGCTCTAGGTTCAAGCTCCACTACTGTTAGAAAAAAAGGAAATCTAATTGTTCATGGTCAATACCAGTATACAGAAATAAAGCTCGTTTGGTCATGTTCATTTTCGAGCCAACAATTTTGCTAGTTTTGCTCATTTGGTTTTGTGGACTTTCTGTATAATGTTAAGGATTTTCTATAAACAAGTTCCTGTCATCTACAGATACATATACAGGTATAGATATATACCTTTTATGACCTTGTAATTGGGCACTCTTTATTTCATTGTCTAGCCTAATGGCTCTGTGTAGCACTCCTAAGTGTCTCTTGAACAGAAGTGGTCACAGCAGCATTGTGTGTTCTTCCTGATCTTAAAGAGAAAGCTGTCAGTCTCCCCACTGCATATGATGTTGGCTGTGGGTTTCCATGTGTGGCCTTTGCTACACTAAGCTGGACTTCGATCCAGTTTCAGTGTTTTTATCATCAAAGTCTGTGAAATTTTGTCAATTTTGTGTTGATTCAATCTTATTGGTTATACAGCTATTTGATTTTGTTTCTTTCACGATTCCATCTCTAAGGAATCCAGGTTTGTAGGAATTTGTCCATTGCATCTAGGCCACCCAACAGTTAGCATATAATTACTGAGTGCTCTTGAAATTCTCCATATTCTTGAGAATGGATGGTGAGGTCTCAAATTGTATTAATATCCATCTCCTTTTTTCAAAGTTAATCTGGGAAAAGGTTGCTAATGTTGTTAACCGTTTTTGAAGAACCAACTTTTGGTGCATCCGTTTCTTGCAGTTACTCTAGTCTCTGTTTTGTTCATCTTCATCCTCATCTTTAGTTTTCTCCTTCCACTAGGATGGGGGAACTTTTAGGGGGGCAAGGGTCTCATTATATAACCCAGACTTGCCTCAAATTCACAATCCTCCTGTCTCTGCCTCTGATGCTAGGATACTAGGTTATATCACATCCTTCACCTGCATCATAGTAGTTTTTAAAGACTTAATATAATAATCAGGTAACCTTTTTGGCAAAATACCACATACACAGGAAGAAAAAATGTTGCTGCAATTATTCCTACTACTAGTGTTAGCCTTGAAGCCAGGTAGCCAGGTCTATCTCTGATTAACCATACAGATTTAAGTACTTTTTGAAAACCACTTTAAGCTCCAGTTTTTCATTATCTGAATGGAAATAATTTCTATGTGACAGACTCATCATATAGATGAAACCAGATACAAATACAGGGCCAGCCACATCATAAATACCATACCACCTTGGTCAACATTAGCGTTAATAATCACTCTTGAGCAGACTGGTGAGGTTTGAGCCCCAAAGTCACAACAAGGAGTAAAGGGGTGAGGACGGCATTGATACATAAGGGGCTTGGGGAGACACATGTTATCCAAAAGGTGAAGCCACTGTAACATGGCTACTAAATGAAAATGGGAGAGAAAAAAGCAGGGTGGGGTCTGATGCAAAATTTCAAACCTGGTAATTTACTAGTTTTCATCCTCCAGAATGTGTCCTTGGTGGGCTTAGACTAGCAAGGTATTAGTGGAGGGATATACTTGTGAAGGTGAGCCTGGGATAGCCCTCAGGACACATGCAGATCTCTGTGGAGGCAGAGAAGGAGGCATGTCTTAGATTGCAGAGCAGTTCCAACAGAGTTTCTGCAAGGTCGAGGCTGAGTTCTCCACAGTAACCAAGCAGAGGGGAATGGGGTCTTACAGGGTCTGCCTTGTTTTCCTACCCCACTGCAGAAACCATGGTCTCTGCAGAGGAGCTGGTCCATTGAGAGTCAATAGCCTGGGCCTTCTGTCACTTAGAACACAGCCACAAAAGACCACTTATTCATGGTTGCCAAAACTGAGACCCTGAGGAAAAGATATAGCCATGAGATCACTGGATATTCAACACACAAAGTCACAATTGCCCTGTCTCACATTCCCACAGCTTCACGTGATTGCCTGGATGAAATTGATGGAATTCGGGGATTGGAAGGAAGAGGGAGAACCAACCTAGAAACACTGCGAGGTGGAAAGGACACTAGCTAAGATCCTCACACTTCAACTCACCCAATCAGTCTCCCCACAGAAAATACATCCCCAAAGGGGTGAATAGAAATCATTTCATGTTATGGACACACCACCAGAAAACACTTTCACTTCATTCTTTCTTGTCTTTTCTTTCCCTGACAGCTGACCTAACCCAAGGAACTGCTGGCCTCTCGGGAGGTGCCATTGCCGGCATCGTGGTTGGAGCTGTGGCTGGGATGACTCTTGTAGCAGCCCTGGCATATTTCCTTTATTTTAGGAAGACTGGAAGGTAGGATGGTCTTTCCTCCTTTGTGTTCTCCAAGTCTTAACGTTGTGTTTGGGAGTGGGCAAGGACTTCTCTCCCTTTGCATCTGAGCTGAATCTCTTCCTCCTCTCCCCTAAACCTCTGCTTCTCAACACTGACCATGTCGGCTCAGCTGCCCTGTCTTCATGCTCCCTGTACTCCTGTCTCTTGGAGTCCATTCCCACCTAGTTAGAGAACCGATTCAATTATGCCTCTCTATCCCCCCGCACCACCACCCCCACCCCCGTCATGAAGCCCAGATCCAAGATGACAGAGAAGTGAGGGACTCCAAGTAGCAGCAAGAGGATGCAGGTGGCATAGACTGCTGGCCAAAGCAGCAGCAGGAGGGATAGGGAGGCAGCAGGGGGAGAAGAGACCCTAAGATGGAGCTATAGAAGCATTAAAGTCCTCTTGGTCAAGGAAATGAGTAGAAAAAAAGCCAGATGGTGGTATCACATACCTTTAATCCCAGCACTCAAAAGGCAGAGATAGGCAGATCTCTGTGAGTTCGAGGCCAGCCTGGTCTATAGAGTGAGTTCCAGGACAGTCAGGGCTACACAGAGAAACCCCATCCTGAAAAACATAAACAAACAAATAAATAAACAAACAAACCAATCCAAACCCACCACAACCCTCAAAAAAAGAAAAAGAAAAAGAGTAGAAAAAAAAAACAGAACCACCCATGGAAAACGAAACAGGACAGGCATAAAGTGGAACAGGTGCAGAAACATGAAAGATAAGAGAGCTATAGCACTGGGGACGCAGCTCAGAAGCAAAGCATCGACTGTGGGTGTGGTCCCAGCACCAGGGGACAAGGTAGAGCAAACGTGGAGTCCAGCGAAGACAAAGGATGAGCACTAGCAGGCATCAATCACACTTAGATTAGGGCATGAAGCCCCAGGAGGGGAGGCAGTGCCAAGCATGATGTGACAGAGCATCATTGACAGCAAGGAGCCCAGGAATGCGCTGCCCCCTGCATCCTCCCCAACTCTAGGAGTGAAGGCCCTGTGTGGGGGGATAGTAGTCACAGTGTCTGATATTTATTTAGGAGAACTGACCAGCGTGATCTCACAGAGCACAAACCCTCAGCCTCCAACCACAGTAAGTAAAGCCACTCACAGACTGAGAATCGGTGTTCTACCACGTTTCCTGGTCTGCCAGGGGATCCTTGGCTCACAGACCATGCCTTCCTTTCTCAATTTTTTTACAGAAGGGATCTCCACTTCCCAGCACTAAGGATCCCATACATCATACCCTTCCTAGCTACAGAGGAGTTGCCTGAGAGAGCCCTGGAGAAGCTCACTCCACCTAGGCTAGGCAGGCCTAAATAAGTCATGGTTCCAGGAATCATCCTGATCCCTCCTTCCTGCCTCTGTTATAGATGTGGACATCTCCCTGGGGGAGACTTTCTTTGTCTTATGGAATATCTGGGTGCTGTGGCCTCATGTTCCTCCTTGCCACTGGGGCATGCTGCTGAAAATCAATTCTGGTCATCATGTGAACTGAGGAAACAGATGGCTAAATCATGCTCCTCCTCTGACACTAACTCAGTGGGTCTGAGCAACCTCTGTGGGAAGCTAATTCCTGAACTGACTGTGGCCACCTCTCCCATGCAACCCCCACCACCTGCCAAAAGTCACAAAACCTTAAGTCAGCTTTGCACTTCTGTGCACTGATAACTCTCTCTTGCTCCCCTAGATCTGGGCCCCTCTGACAACTCTCCTAAGGTAAGCACTGTCACTTTCACTGGATGTTCGCTCATGGAAATGTCTCTGAAGAAAGTAGGGTATCTGTATTGTTTTGCTTTGTGTGCTTGTTTGTCGAGAGAGAGGGTCTCACCATGCAGCCTTGACTACCCTTGAGCTATGCAGCCTACACTGGCCTTGAACTTGTGACCATCCTCCTGTCTTAGCCTCTAATGTGCTGGGATGACAAAAGTATGCCGCCACACCAGGCTGAGAATGAGGTATTCTTGGAGACATAACTGTGAAATTCAGTTTGGGTCTATATTCCTCAGCGCTGCAGCAAAGGAAGATTGGTTAATGAGCCCCATGAGTCTAATGCAAGAGTGTGTGTTTGGAATAATCTCCACCCTGTGTTTAATTCCTGGCTGTGATTCCTAGTAGTCTGTGGCCCTTGACAAGGAACTTGAACTCTTTGATCCCCAGTCTTGTCACCTATGAAATGGACATTCTGACTACCTCCAAAAGAGACTAAAGGGATTAAACAAGTTAACAGGTGCACAGCACTGCCCACACAAAGACAGCAGTACATCACTCTTCAATCTGAACCTGCTCTGACCATAAAAGGATGGGTTCCATTTTAATGGGTCTGAGACCTATTCCTTCATTTTATAATAATTTTACCAAAATCTTAGCATTGCAGCCTTTCGATAGAGCATGCACGTAGACTGAAGGGTGTTTTAAACCATAAGGACACTTTCAGTAGAGCATGCACGTAGACTGAGGAGTGTTTTAAACCATAAGGACACTTTCACAGTGAACTCTCTCGGGTTGAACACACTTGTAAGCAGCAGGCAAATTAAGTTATTTCACAACCACCCTCCCCAACACACTTTGCTGCCACTTCCCTACAAGGAGCGGTGGCAGTCAGGACAGTGCAAATCCTCCAACACATCTGGCTTTTGTTCAGCACTGTTCTGTAGCCCATCTGGATGTCTCTGTTGATTCCGGCCCTGTTCCCATTGCCGTCTCACCCTGTTCCATGGTATCAACCTGTCTCCTCAGTGATCACACATCAGGCTGTCAGACAGGGAGTGACAGGAGTCCTCTCCCACAGTGCACAGAGGCCACAGCACAGTGGTGCCAGATCACCAGCAAGGTGAGGCTCTGACTTGTGGAACTGATGTCACTCATCAACACTCATATTTTCAGGTGGATGAAGTCACATATTCCATCCTGGACTTCCATGCCCAGCAACCCAAACCACCAACTTCAGCCTCCCCATCTCCAAGAGCCACAGAGGAAGTTTATTCAGAAGTAAAAAAGAAGTGATCACAGTCTATCCTGCTGGCTACACCAAGGATGCATTCCCAGATTCTCTCCTTTCACTAGGAGATCTCCATACTCTGGACATGAGGGAACACACACACACACACACACACACACACACACAGTTCCAGGCTGCAGTCACTCTTTCAGTGCCCATAGAAGGAAAAGTGTGTTCTGGAGCCTACAGGAAACCCAACCTTTCTTGGAATTGAAATTTAGCTAAGAGAGAAACATCAAACTGTCTACCCATTCTCTTTCCTAACCGTGGCTTGTTTTAAATTGATCTATTCAAAGCACATTTGTTCCTCCCCCAACTCCAAGTCCTGCCCTATCAGAGTCAAACAAAGGAAAAGCAGGAAATGGCCATTCCCATCTCTTTAAAACCCGATGTAAAGCCACCATACACAGGAAGATCACACCTGGAGCCAGTAGTTCACTGGGAAATCTACACACCTGATAACTGTCATGTTTGCCCAGCTGTGGCATCAGGGTCTCTGTTCGTTGTGGCTTTACACCTGAGCCCCTCTCTGAGCCTTTTTCCAGAAAACCCACTCAAGGCAGCTAGAAAAGCTCTTTGGTAGCATCCACAGGTCATTGCCAAAGCAGAGTGCAGACACAAAGACAACGTCTCTAACATCTACCAAGAAGGTGTCCAGAAAAGCAGGGCTGGTGGCTTTGAACTGACAGACTTCTGGAATTTGAAAAAGGAGCAGAGAGATGCCCTTCATGGAGTATTGGAATTGTTTTCAAAGAAGTCACATTTGGAGGTACCGGGGCTTTCCTCTTTCTAAGACAATCAACGATTTGAATTTCTGTAGCTGCTGACTTACCTCGCTGTGTGACCTGATCAGTGTACCTTAGGGGCAAGAAGCCACTAAAGCCTCTGGCTCCCTTGGCCAGGATCAAAAGGCCTCTCAAGCCCTTCTGATCAAGAGTTCAAACCAAAAATAAATAAATGAATAACAAGGCAGTCACTCGCAGAGCCACAGCTGAGTGTCAGGCCAAGCCTCCTGCTTTCCTGAATTAGTCAGAAAAGCCTGACTTTTCCTTGGTCCATGTTGTCATCTTTTCTTTTGGAGACCAGCCAGAGCCTAGACAATCTTTCTCTGACACTTTGGGCTTTCTCGGTCTTCCCTGGAAGCTCTCCCGCCCCCACCTGTGCAGGCTGCCAGCTGACCTCTTGCTTGACTCAAAGGTCGTTCCTCCTCTACTCCATATCCCTCTCCCCCAGGCTGATACTGAGATTTCCAGCTTGTCTGCCTCGTTTTTCTTTTAAACTCTAGCAAAACTGTCCTCAGCTCTAAAAAATAAAAACAACGGGCTTTCCTCATTCCCACCAGGAAGAGACCTAACTCGGTTTCTGGAAATCTAGGACCAGCCTCCAACTACCCTTCTGCCGTGTTTCTGCCTGTGCATTTGTTTCCCCTTTCTTTTTTTTTTCTTTTTGACTCTTTTTTTTTGAGACAGAGTTTTAGCATGTAGCCTGCACAGGCTTCAATCTCACAATAATACCTTCTACAACCTCCCACCTGCTGAGATTATAGCACAGACCACCAGGCCCAGCTACCTGTGCATTCCCTGTCTACCCTACACTCTCAGGAAACCTTGGCCTCTGCTACTGTGTGTTTGGTCCATGTGAAATGTGGCCTTACAGGAGCACAGCCACTCAAGCCAAAGACATTGTTTACAGCCTAGAATGCTCGGCACTGGTGCCCCACTGGGAACGTGGGCTATTAGCAGAGTGCTCTTACCCAGCCCTGGGCTTTCTGCAGCTTCTGGAACCTACCTTTCCCACCTGGGATGAGTCCCAGCAACAGGAGAAAGAAAGGCAAATGTTGTCTCAGGAATCCTCTGTTCTGAGGCACACCCCCTCTGTGCCCGTTAAGCAAAGGTTTTATTGGATATTAAAAGTTTGTTCTCATGCCATGTGTAAGGTCTTCTAAGACAATTATTTTTGACTTCTCCTACTCAGGGATTTCTTTTAGGGATTTCCAACCCAAATATAGCCTGTGTATATTTTCCTTCAGCCATACTATTCTGGGTTATTTAATTTTTCTTGATTAAAGCCAAATCTGAGTTATTTATAAATTTACCCTATGTTCATAATTTTAAAAAATCATATATCCCTGATACTACTTTGTGGGGTTTTCTGTTTGTTTGTTTCTTGTATGCACTAGGCAAGTGCTCTACCGTTGAGATACATCCCTGCTGACACCACTTTAGACAATGTCTTCCTTACAGGGAGAAGACAACAACTACTAGATCAGGGGACCAGAGTGAGCCTACTGCTAAGTAGTATACAGTAGCTCTCTGATGTAGTCATCTAGGAATTAGCTAAATGCTTTGCACATTCACTAACGAATATATGTGCAAGCAACAGAACCAAGCCCTAACCTGCCTGGAAAGAGCTGGTTATCTCCCTCTAGGGGAGAGATTACAGGATTAAAAGGCTTCTCTGGTCCTCTCCCTCACAGTAAACAGCTCCTCCTACCCAAGTGGCTCCAGACACTCAAAGGCAGCAATGCAGCTTTCAGCTCACAAAAATCTCTGCATGTTCCCTCACACTGAACTCTCTCCTGCACCACCTGTCCCTTCCTTGTTACTAATTCCCTGTCTGTCCTCTTAAACCTGTGACCTGAATAAGATCCATGTATTAATTCCATTAAGTGTTACCCTATCATCTTATTTTCCTCACTAGCAAGCAATGGAAATGCATGTATAGCCTGCCCTTCCCCTATCCCATTTCCATACCCAAGACACTGGAAGCATCATGAAATCACTGTCACTTCTGGGATGGATTCAAACATATGTCACCCACACACTTCAGCTTTACATCATCTACAACCACAGGCAACTCTTCTTTCTGGGTCATTCCTGTTGCATCAACCACCAACATACTGCACCATCACCAGTGAGTTTTGTGGGTCCCTTATCCCACACTTCGCTCAACTCCAAAGGCCTCTGCAGATGGCTCCTACATGTATATTTCAAGCCCCTACCTCTTCCTGGAACTCATGGCACCTGCCTCCAAATAAATACTCATGTAAACAGGCTCATCACCCTCAGCATACTGATTTCTTGGTTTTACATTTATTTTATGTTTGTTTGTTTGTTTGTTTGTTTTTGAAACAAAGTCTCCCTGTGTAGCTCTGGCTGACCTGGAATTCACTATGTAGACCAGACTGGCCTTAAACTCACAAAGATCTGTCTGCCTGTGCCTCCTGAGGGCTGAGATTAAATGTATGAGCACCACAAAGGCTCCCTAAATGTATTTTTTAATTTTTCATCCATGTGTATGTTGTATGTCAAGCATGTTCTCATTCTCTGCCACTCCCAATTCCCAATTCTCATTAGATATGTCTCCCTACACAGCCTGTCCCTCTACCCTACGTACACATATAACTCTTAGTCCCAACGCTGTACCTAAAAAAGAATACCAAGCAGCAGGATTTCTCCATTACTTTCACTGTGATCACCCTTCATCAAAAGCAACTTCACATAGAGCAAACACTAGAGCATTCAAGTGAAGACATTAGATTCAGGAAGGACACAACTGTGCATGGTTGACAATGTTTTCCTGGTGACCAATTTATATATTCATGAAAAGTACAGAAATTCTGTATCTTCTCAGATGGGGCCCTTCCTCTAGGGAACATAAATCCCTAAGACAGAAGATACAGGAAAAAAAGAACAACACCAAATTTGAAAGGGACAAATACCTCAAGAAGACAGAGAAATAAGGGCTGAGAGGACATCTCAGTGACAGTACTTGCCTAGGAGGGTGAGGCTCTGTGTTTGATCCCCTGCACTGAAGAAGGAGTTTACAGAGAAATCCAATGGAGAACAGAACATATGGCTACATGATGGAACCATTGAGAAATCTGTTAGATATGCTCGGGCCCCATTCGCAACTTCTAATTGAGTTGGTCTGCAAGGGAATGCAAACACTGATAACTTTAAACCTCCCCAATGCTATTTTTGGGCAGTTGTGGTGGTCAGGGTTAACTGTCACCTGAGAGAATCTAGAGTCACCTAGGAGACTGCCTCCAGGCACACCTGCAAGATCATCTGAGAAGGCTACCTTTGAGAATGTCTGTGAGGGATTGTCTTGGCTACGGGAATTGATGTGGGAAGATCAACTACTTGTGAGGAGCCCGTTCCCTGTGCAGTGTGTATGTGGAGAGACAGAGCTGAGGAACAGCGTACATTCATCACTCTCTGCTTCCTGACGTGGATGTGACTTGACCCAGGGCTTCAAGCTCCTGCCACCTTAACTCCCACCGTCAGGGTCTGGGCCCCTGAACTGTGAGCCTGAATGAACCCTTAAGTTGCTTTTCTGTGTTAGCACAGCAATAGGAAGAGAAACTGTGGCAGTGGACAAGACAGAAGCCACCTGCTGGAGCAGGCAGATGATGGCCATGGCTTTTAGCTAGGGTTATACATCATTGTGGGGATATTTCAACATGCATAAACCTATACTCCATTCCTGGGGGAGAAGAGGCAGTATGTTCACGAGACTTAGGCTTGGGTATTTGAAAAACATTGTGGGGTGCATTGCCATAGCATTAATGTGGAGGTCAAATAACAGCTGTGAGACTCAGCACTCTCCTTCCAGCATGTGGGCTCCAGGGATCCACTCAGGTCATCAGGCTCGATGGTCCTCTATCTCTATTTTATTTATGTATGTATGTGGTGGAGGTGGGGAGTATGTGCATGTGAGTGCAGGCACCTTCAGAGATCAGAAATCTCACATGCTTCTGGATCTGGAGTTGCAGGCTGTTGTGAGCTACTTCATATGGATCCTGGAAAGCAAACTGGAGTCCTCTGGCAGAACAGTTCACACCTGTACACTTAATGGCTAAGCCATCTCTCCAGCCCCTGTCTCAATTTTTACTGATAAAATATTTACCTAATTCAATCTATCAGATACAAAACACCAATACTCACATTCTATTGCTATGTAATAAATTATTATATTTAGATCAATGTTTTCTTTTATTATTTAGAAACTAGATGAGCCTGAATTCCTTATCATTCAGCTTCCATCATTTATTTTAGATAGTCCTGGGGATCAAAATCAGGGTCTATGGTATGCCAGGCTGACCCTCTACCCACTGAGCCACATAGCCAGCACTATGTGACCATGTGTAGATGCTTACATAACACTTGTTAGTTCACCAGTTCAGTTCCTTGCAGTGATAGATTGAGGCTGACTTTGCCCTGATGACAGTTGGAGACCCATTCAAGGTCTTGCTTGACCTATGGTCGCTTCCATTTAAGCAAAGGAGAACTTATGTCATTAGATTGTATCCATGCAGACAATCTCTTCTAGAGTAATCAAAATGGACTAATTTGTAACCCCAAATACATCTTCCAAATCCTGATTGGCACAGATGATTTAATCAGGAACATGAGGTGGGATCTGCACAACGTTCTAGTTTTGAGCAGAGGGGCCGGCTGAGGGTTCTGTTCAGCACAGCCCTGCTCTGAAGGAGCTCTTTCGGGGTCCTGATCTGCAAACACAGGGCAAGGAAGCCAAACAGTTGAGTGATGTAATGTGAGACAGGAGGTCACCACTCTGTCCTTTTGCCATGCCAGCGTACACACAGCTGGGTGTAGTTTTATTCATCTATGATCCCAGTATTTGAGAGGCTGATGCAGGAGTATTACCAAAACTACCAGGCCATCCAGACCTACATAGTCAACACCAAGCCAGCCTGAGCTACAAGGCAAGATGCTGTCTCAAAACAAAAACAAACAAAATAACCTGCAGACTTAAGAATCAAAGAGTCTGTACATACGAGTGCATGTTCCACTCACAGTGCTAGAGCTGGGACACAAGACCTCACACATGATGGGTTAGTGCTCTACCACTGAGTTACAACTTAATCCTAACAACTGAGTTTATTCTCATCAGAGCTCAGGAGATACAAAATCAAAGTGTCAGCAATTTTTTTGTTGCTTACTTTTATTACTTTTGTCTTTCTTTATTAAATCTTACATGTGAGCCGGGCAGTGGTGGCGCACGCCTTTAATCCCAGCACTTGGGAGGCAGAGCCAGGTGGATCTCTGTGAGTTCGAGGCCAGCCTGGTCTATAGATCCAGGACAGGCACCAAAAACTACACAGAGAAACCCTGTCTCAAAACAAACAAACAAACAAACAAACAAACAAATAAATAAATATCTTTCATGTGAATTTTTTGCAATTTTTAAAAATTAAAATATAATTAAATAATCCTCCATTGCCCTCCCAAACTCATGGGCTCTTTTAAATGAAATTTATTTTTAATTGATACAAAGACATAAAATTGTACAGATTAATGGAGTACCATATTATGTTTTGATACATTGTACAATATTCAAATGAAATTAAACATGTTCATATTCTCAAACAGTTAGCATTTCTTTAGGGTAACAACATTCAATTCTGAGAGAGACAGCTTGATCTGTAAAGTGTCTGCCATGCAAGCATGAGGTCCGGAGTTCAGATACCATTCACCTATAACCTGGGCAGGTGAGGAGAGGAGGTAGAGACAGGCAGATCTGAGGGTTCCACTGGTCAGACAATCTGACTAAAACAGTGACTTCTGGGTTCACTGAAAGACCCTGTCAAAAAAAAAATAAGGCAGAGGAGCTGGAGAGATGGCTCCATGACGAAAAGCACTTATTACTTTGCACAGGACCCAGGTTTGACTCCCAGGCCCAACATGCCGGCTCATAACCATCATAACTCCAGTTTCAGGGATATGATGCCCTGTTCTGACCTCTGCAAGCATCAGGCATATGATACACATGCATACCTGCTGGGGAAACGTGCATGCACATACAAATAAAAACAAATCTTTGGGGCTGGAGAGATGGCTCAGAGGTTAAGAGCACTGGCTGCTCTCGCAGAGGACCTGGGTTCAGTTCCCAACAACACATGGATGCTCAAAATCATCTGTAACTCCAGTTCTGAGGGATCTGATGCCCTCTCCTGAACTCCATAGGCACTGAGCACACACAGGGTACACAGAAGTATGTGCAAGCAAAACACCCATGTGCGTATTAATATAAACTCTTTTTTAAGAATCCAGATGTGGTAGGGGAACAGGAAGAGAAAGCACAAATGAAGAAACAAGCTTGTCCTGAAACAATGACTGTAGAAGGAGAGATGAGCAAATGTAACGTCATTCAGAACTACTTGACTTTTCCAGACAGTTGTAAGTCCCTGCTCTCTACAAGTGGACAACACAGTCAGACATCCAAATGAAAGTACTAAGTAAGTTATACAAGTCTTCAGGACAGGGAGTGATCTAGGACAGATGGAGCAGAAGATATCACTGAAGTCCCCTCTGGCCAGGGCCTTTCCACAGAGCATCCCAGCCAAAGTGCAGACAGGCTGGGGCAGAAATGCCACCACTCCACCCTTCCCATGACTTACTTGCAGCCACAATGGTGACCTGCATGGGTCACAGAACCGACCACCTTTGCTGGATTCCTGCTCCTGAGACCCAGCTGCTGAGAGACCTCAAGCAAGTTCTATACGTCTCTGCTCCTCGGATTCGTATATGAAGCAGAACCACAGCCGTTTATACTTATGGTGGGTGGTGTCAAAAGTCAAGAAGTTAATCACTGTGCTTAGAAGATAGTTGGTGGATAATAAATGTTAACTTTCACCTGTGCTACTGACATTTCTACCCAGAACAGTGCCACGTGTTTCGAAAACCTCAACTCATTTATTGGTTACATATTTCCTTTGTTAGACTAAAAACTTGTAGAAACTACATTTTTTTTACTTTCTTTTTTTTATTTATTTTTATTTTTATTTTGCAATACAATTCAGTTCTACATATCAGCCACGGATTCCCTTGTTCTCCCCCCTCCCGTCCCCCTCACCTTCCCCCCAACTCCCCCCCCCCCCATTCCCACCTCCTCCAGGGCAAAGCCTTCCCCGCGGACTGAGATCAACCTGGTAGACTCAGTCCAGGCAGGTCCAGTCCCCTCCCCCCAGGCCGAGCCAAGCGATCCTGCATAGGCCCCAGGTTTCAAACAGCCAACTCATGCAATGATCACAGGACCCAGTCCCACTGCCTGGATGCCTCCCAAACAGATCAAGCCAATCAACTGTCTCACCCATTCAGAGGGCCTGATCCAGTTGGGGGCCCCTCAGCCATTGGTTCATAGTTCATGTGTTTCCATTCATTTGGCTATTTGTCCCTGTGCTTTATCCAACCTTGGTCTCAACAATTCTCGCTCATATAAACCCTCCTCATTCTCGCTAATTGGACTCCCAGAGATCCACCCGGGGCCTAGTCATGGATCTCTGCATCCAGATCCCTCAGTAGTTGGATGGGGTTTCTAGAACAACAATTAGGGTGTTTGGCCATCCCATCACCAGAGTAGGTCAGTTCGGGCTGTCTCTCGACCATTGCCAGCAGTCTGTTGTGGGGGTATCTTTGTGGATTTCTGTGGGCCTCTCTAGCACTTTGCTTCTTCCTATTCTCATGTGGTCTTCATTTACCATGGTCTCCTATTCCTTGTTCTCCCTCTCTGTTGTTGATCCAGCTGGGATCTCCCGCTCCCCCAAGCTCTCTTTCATTTGATTTGTCTCTATATCCCCAGAACTAGGCCTAAGTGCATACCCATAACAGGCCCTGATGGCAACTCTCTTTCCAGCTGGCAAGGGAGGGACCACCAACTGCTGTCTCACAACTTCTTTATTGCCAGCTATCTGCTGGGGTCCTGCCATTCTTGGGCTTCCTTTACCTTCCTTCCTAGTCTAGCTACTGTGCACCAGGGATGCTCACTGACTAGCTGTACTCTTTGCTCTCTTCCCTGAAAGGTTTCTTGCTCTCCATAGGTACAATGCTGTCAAACAAATAAAAGGTTTTTAATTTTTTTAACACCTTCTGCATCTGGGCTAAAGAGATGGCTCACTCTTGCAGAGGACTGAGTTCAGTTCCTAGCACCTACATGGTAACTTATGGAAGCTCCTGTAGCTCCATTTCCAGGGGATCTGATGGTCTGTTCTGGACCCTGCAGGCACCTACACACATGTGATACACCTAAACTCACACTCAAAGAAAAATCAGTCGATGGAGTCGGAGGAGAGGCTGGATTTCTAGATCACTGGCTCCCCACACGTTCAGGAGATGAAACCAGCTCTACAAAAAGACAAAGGTGGGCAGGATGTCAGCCAGACTGTTGTAGATCTTCAGACCTGAGGAAACCCTGAAAATATATTTGGATTATCAGGTGACACTACACTGTGGTACTCTGGGAGTTGAGAAATGGCTGCGGAGAGGGAAGTGCAATGAGCGGGGTGGAGGGCAGCTTTCTGTGAAATTGTGCTTTGTAAACTCCAAGGTTTCCTTCTCCCTACTAGTAGACACTCTCATTTTCCCCCAAGACTAGAAATGGAGAAACATAAGGACCCAAAGACTGAGAACTGGAAAGATACAAAACCACAAACTGCTAGACTTTAAAGATGATGCAAAAGAGGTCAGAGGCATGTTCATCTGTGTACACCATGCCCTCTGGCCTGAGCCTCTAGACATCCTGGAACACGGCCCTGGTCTCTGCAAGAGTAGGAATTACTGGGAAATCATTAACTAACTGCCCAGGAAGCTCAGATCTCCAAAGAATTTCCTCTACTCATTTCTCCCCAAGTTATCACTGATATAATAAGTCAAGGTTATATCCCTCAGCTCTGGAGTGTAGGAGCTCTTTGCTATGAAAAAGGTGGCAGACAGGAATCCACAAGCAGAAATGGAGCTAGCGAGAATGTACTCAAAGGGCAGCCTGTTTAAAGGTCAAAGTCTCATGAGGCATGCTAGCCTTCCTTCATAGTCTGGGCTGTGTGGTGATCGTTTTGTCCCACAGTTGGAGCTCAGAAGGAAAACGGAGATGTTCATGCTTGGAGCTGCAGCAAACAAGATCAAGAAGACCAACAAACACAGAATATTAG